ATCTGTCCAAATGATAACCAAACAAGTTAAAGTGCAAATGGTCATTCCTGCAACATTGTTATCACCAAGGGACAACAACAAAGACAAAAAAAAAAACACTGGAGGGGGGAGATATCATCAGCAAGCAGACACTCTGAACAAGGACAAACAAAAACCAATCACATGCAACAAAGATATGCTGATGAGATTTAACACGACTTGTCAAATATGAGCTGTGGCTGATGAGGAAAAGGGAACCGGATGTTTTCAGCAGAAACAGCAGCCAACATGTGTCAGTACATACAACCTTATCTGCATTACATACCACACTCACAGTACACACCACATTATCTGCATAACATACCACACTATGCAACTCCGGAGTTACGTAATAGCAGGTTCAAATATTATTTGTCCCAGCAGCATTTTACAAAATTACAAATATTCTATGCAATCATCCCTTGTCAACTAAGACAGAAAACAGAATCCTCAACAACAACATAAATCCTATCCTGATAAACAGAAGTAAATCATAGACAGTTGGAATATCAGTCAAAAATTATTTGGAAGCAGGAGAGAGGTGGTTTTATAGACAAATTATGAGATTACCTTCGACAAATAAAAAAGATAATGAAGACGCCTTGAAAGAAACTGACTCACAAAGATTGTTCACATCAGGAAGAGACAATCTACATTCTTTGGTTATGTCCAAGGAAGGAGGAGACAACTGGAGTACATGGTGACGGTGGAAAAGTTACAGGAGAAAAGAGGCAAAGGGAGACAGAGAGAAGATGCTGGACAGTCTGACATCATGGCATGAAGGATCCCCTGTGTCAGAACTGACTGACTCCCGCGTGGGTTCCGGGGCCTCATTGTGGGAAAAACAAGAATAGACCCACTGCCTCCACAAAAGCATGTCGTCAGAGTCGACTAATTGGGGAGCTTCCTTTGAAGTCAGAGTGCATCTGTCGGAGAGGCAAGGAACCAACAGTCTGTATTCAAGAGAATGAGATCTGTAAAACTGATGCACACGCAACACTCAGGTTCTGGAGCAGGACTATAGTTCAGTAGTGGACGAGCAACCAGAACCTTCCACCAGAGTTTACAGCTGGTGAACGCGAAGAAGCAGAAGAGGAGCTGACTGATATACTGATATACATGAGACAGAATGATGTGGATAAATATCCCTACCAAAGCCACATAGCAAAGACTATAAGTGGAAGAAGGTTTAAATTTACTAAAAATGTTTCAAAACTAGGTGCTTGCCTGACAGCCATAAGTTCTGGGGTTCAAATTTGCATGACAGAGACTCCTAGGTCGAAGCAGCCTACAATGAGTACTGAAAATATCCTGGGATGTAAAGGCAGCCGGGACTGCTAGTGAAAACATCACCCACAGAGTGTCAATAAGTCTATACCATGGTCAAGCATCATATGCCAAACCAGTCAATGGCATGAAAATTATCCTTGAACTATCTATATAATGTGCCATTTTTAATGTGTAATTCCAGCAGACAGTTTCCAGAGCAGCTATGTAATTTCTAACATGTAAATTCTAATGTCCACTTCCTATAATGTAATCACCAAGTTCTTTCCTAGCAACAATCATTACTGGCCTTTGAAAAACAAGACAGATGCTGAATGAGAAGAGTGCAAGTATGGTCCTAACTGGCAGTTATTCACAGAACAAAGGAAATAAAAATCAGTGAGTGTAAGATTAATGGCCAAATGAATGTGACACATTTAGCCCATGTTCAAACCTCGACCGCTTGGAGCCTGCACGTGGGCTTGCCGAGCGAGACCTTGACTGTGACCTGGAGGAACTTGAATGCCCTCTTTTGGACGCCCTATTGCCGGACCTGATGAAATAGATGAGATCGTGAAACTCTGTTCAAGTTTAACCTTCCACACCAGCAGAAAGTCTCAAATACTTAAATGTCTGATACTGTTCACAAAATGTACAAGCACCATATATCATTGATGTGCTTTTGTGTTCCTTGAATGCCCATCTGACCTTAAGGTTTATGTTACCTAAATGCTCTCCTGATTTTTTTGGGTCAATGTTCCCTGAATGCTCTCCTGACTTTTTGGTCAATGTTCCCTGAATGCTCACCTGACTTTTTGGTCAATGTTCCCTGAATGCTCTCCTGACTTTTTGGTCAATGTTCCCTGAATGCTCTCCTGACTTTTTGGTCAATGTTCCCTGAATGCTCTCCTGACTTTTTGGTCAATGTTCCCTGAATGCTCTCCTGACTTTTTGGTCAATGTGTTTGGTCAATGTGAATGCTCTCCTGACTTTTTTGGTCAATGTTCCCTGAATGCTCTCCTGACTTTTTGGTCAATGTTTCCTGAATGCTCTCCTGACTTTTTGGTCAATGTTCCCTGAATGCTCTCCTGACTTTTTGGTCAATGTTCCCTGAATGCTCTCCTGACGTTTTGGTCAATGTTTCCTGAATGCTCTCTTGACTTTGATGACAATGTTCCATGAACATTCATGTTCATGACAATAATTCATGAATACTCTGTGATATTTCTACCAAAGTTCCATGAATGTTTACATGATTTCGCTGTCCAATGTTCCCTCAGACATTTTTATCCAGAGCACACTTTTTTTAAATAGCTCATAAGAAGATGACATAGCAATGGAGTTTATGTTATCATTATAGTGATAGCATGGACCAGGAACAAATGCTGACATTTGTTACACAGAAGTCCCCAGTTTATTTTTTTAAAATCAGAATCAAATTCAAGGCTTTATTAAAAATGCATTATATATATATATATGTGTGTGTGTATGTATGTATGTGCACATGAGTATGCAAATGTACATATGTGTTTAAAAAAAAAAAACTGTTTCCACCTTCAAGAAAGCAAAACATTACTGACAATGATAGATCTACTTATAATGTACAATGGGCTCATCCACAGTGCTGCAGTAACTAGCATGCCTGCAGGCTAGCCCACTGGTCATGTGTTCAAATCTTCTTTGAAATGGGGGTCCAGCACCACCCCAGACCTAGGTGCCCATGTCAGAGAAGCCTACTATAGGCAACAGGAAATTATTTGGAGAGACAAAAAAGATGGTCAGCACGATATTCACCACATCACATATCAACTGCTGGCTTGTCTAATGTATGGAACTAACAATTTTATACTCAACAGCAATGATACAAAAGTAAAATCTGTAACTCCATCTGGGACCCCATGTTATGTTGGCAGCTTTCCATCTGTCTTGACCTTATGTTGGCAGCTTTCCATCTGTCCTGACCTTATGTTGGCAGATTTCCATCTGTCCTGACCTTATGTTGGCAGCTTTCCATCTGTCCTGACCTTATGTTGGCAGCTTTCCATCTGTCCTGACCTTTTGGCAGCTTTCCATCTGTCCTGACCTTATGTTGGCAGCTTTCCATCTGTCCTGACCTTATGTTGGCAGCTTTCCATCTGTCCTGACCTTTTGGCAGCTTTCCATCTGTCCTGACCTTATGTTGGCAGCTTTCCATCTGTCCTGACCTTATGTTGGCAGCTTTCCATCTGTCCTGGCCTTATGTTGGCACCTCCATCTGTCCTGGCCTTATATTATGCTATGTTGGCCACTTTCCATTTGTCCAGATAACAATATTATATTGTGCTAGGGAAGGCATGGAAATCAGTCTATTAAAGTAATCAGCACTGTGTTTTTTGTTTGTTTGCATTCACCTGCTGTAAACTCTGACGAAAATTTCTGGTTGTTCACCCATTTCTGGACTTTGGCTTTGTTTCAGCGCTTAATTTTGGCATGTACACCCATTTTACAGAGCTGAATTATGTGTGTGCAGTCTTTTTTCTCCTTGCCTTTTAGGCAGATACATTCCGACTTTGGAGGAAATGTCAACCCTATATCTAAAATGACTAAGAGTGGCCAATCTGAACTATGGTATAACCAAGCAGGATGTTGCCATTTAAACAGATTCTCGATCGAAAAACGTGTGAATCAATGTCTGTCATTTAGTAGGAAGTTTCGCCCGTGGGCAGTTCTCACCCACACATTGAGGGTGGGCGGATCTCACCCACACATTGAGGGTGGGCAGTTCTCACCCACACATTGAGGGTGGGCGGATCTCACCCACACATGGAAGGTGGGCGGATCTCACCCATACATGGAAGGTGGGTCGATCTCACCCATACATGGAAGGTGGGTTGATCTCACCCATACATGGAAGGTGGGTCGATCTCACCAGCACATGGAAGGTGGGTCGATCTCACCCATACATGGAAGGTGGGTTGATCTCACCCACACATGGAAGGTGCGTCGATCTCACCAGCACATGGAAGGTGGGTCGATCTCACCCACACATGGAAGGTGGGTCGATCTCACCCACACATGGAAGGTGGGCAGATCTCACCAGCACATGGAAGGTGGGTCGATCTCACCTATACACTGAGGGTGGGCGGATCTCACCCACACATGGAAGGTGGGCGGATCTCACCCATACATTGAGGGTGGGCGGATCTCACCCATATATTGAGGGTGGGCGGATCTCACCCACACATGGAAGGCGGGTGGATCTCACCCACACATGGAAGGTGGGCGGATCTCACCCATACATTGAGGGTGGCGGATCTCACCCACACATCGAGGGTAGGCTGACGAGTGCCAGAGTTTGTCTGGACATCCCCTCTCTGGTGGTCATCAAGTGCGAGATCCCACCATCTCTGTTCAGACCGACATAGACTATTGTCCACGGCAGATGATATAAATGTGTGGCAAGAAAACCAGCACAGACAATTCCTACGCCTGAGATAAAGTTTGGGGTATACCCTTATGCCCTGCACAACAGCCTCATCAGTCCCTGATGCTGGTGATTGGAAAAATTATTATAGAATTATTATTGGTCCGTCAAGTGAGTACAAGGCTGTCCTGGATCAGGATTTGAAAAAAAAAAAAATCATGAAGACGACAAACAAACGACACATGAGGAAGCGAACATAAACTGATATTGACCTTGTGTTGGTTACCTAGAGTTGTTACCTTATACCCTGGTTTTACCTGGACCTAGAGTGTCTTTTTCTACTGCCCGACCGTGACCTCCGCCGACCTCGTGACTGAGAGCTCCCACTGCCAGACCCTGACCTGGAAGGTGACCTAGATTTCTTCGAACCTGACCTAGATTTGGATCTGGACCGCGACCGAGAACTCGAGCTGGAGGAAACAGACCTGGACGACTTAGAATAAGACGATCGAGGAGATGCTTTTTTATGATCTGAAGAAGCTGAAACTTTGTTCTTGTCTTCTTCATCGTCACTGTCAAGCTTGTACTTGGAAACATCTCCACCATCTTCATCTTCCTGTTAATTATGAACACAGTAAACATTAGTATCAGACTTCTCACAGCTCTATGACTCATAGACAGACTGATAAGACAGACAAATACCAGACTGAGTGAAGGTGTAACAAATAAAAAGGCTCCCTTTCCATGCTTTGGTGCATTTCAGGTATATGTTGCTAGCATGTTTCAGTTATATGTTGCTAGCATGTTTCAGTTATATGTTGCTAGCATGTTTCAGTTATATGTTGCTAGCATGTTTCAGTTATATGTTGCTATCATGTTTCAGTTATATGTTGCTAGCATGTTTCAGTTATATGTTGCTAGCATGTTTCAGTTATATGTTGCTAGCATGTTTCAGTTATATGTTGCTAGCATGTTTCAGTTATATGTTGCTAGCATGTTTCAGTTATATGTTGCTAGCATGTTTCAGTTATATGTTGCTAGTATTTGAATTGTAGACAAGTCAGTGAATGGATCGGGGGGAGGGGGGGGGGCAGTAACACACCAGCTATCTTTATCTGCCACAACACATTTCCTGACTGAGTTTACCTGAGAGCCCAAGTAAGTTTTTTTTTTAGCTGGATTGAGATTTTTCCCATGGGGGTACCAAGGTTCCAAGTTTCTTTTTTAGGGGAGAGGGGGGGGGCTGTCCCCCTCCAACAAACATGTTGTAGAAGTCAGTTAATTATAATTAGAGCGTATCTGCCTGGGAAGCAAAGAACCATCAGTCTGCATACAAATGAGCCAGATCTGTAAAATGGATGCGTATGTAAAACTTCTTTCCAAGAGGTAGAAAAACAAATAGAGCTTTCCACAGGATTTACAGCCAGTGAACACAAAGGTGAAGAAGAGATGGATTTGGCCACACGAACACTAGGCCAACAGTCTGACAACCAAGTAAGCCACTGTGATCTGTGGCTACCAGGGGCCAAAGTAAGGGACAATAAATACAGATATAGATTCACCTATTATCTGGCCTAGCCTCAGATGAATTTCTCTCGTTCTCACACTTGCTGTTCAGTGAATGGATGAGAGTGCATAAGTTCTGAGTTCCACGACCAAATGTGTTGCCTTGCTTGCACTAAGTCCCTGTTTGTTTAGTGTTTCGCTTTCTTGTTCTTCTTCTGGCTCTCTACCCAGATCTTTTCTTCCTCACAGACTCTAGTTTGCTTCGATTTCAACAATGATGTCAAGAGACGACCAATCAAAAAGCAACGGCAAACTATGGAATGTAAAGCTGCCTAGCAGGCCACAGTGCCCAAATAGTGGCCCTTTAAAAAAGTTTCTTCATTTGATCATTCCTTGAAAGCTGAATCAGGTATCTAGGTGTTGCTCTGTTGGGCTGCCAAGCAGGACGCAGCAACTTTTCAGGGCGCATGCAAACCATCAGCCAGCCAGCAGCCCAGAGAGGGAACAACTGGCAAGCAGTGGTTATTTGCCAGCTGGGACTCTGCTGTGAAACCTTTAGGGAGTGACAATGAAAACTGTCCACAACATGACATTGTAGCAACAAAAGAACTTTAAGAACAATCACAGACTGTAGCAAAAACAACACCAGCAAATGAGATCAACACAGGAACACATACAAGCAAAGGTTCTGAATACTTACATCATCAGAGTCCAGTTTGTATTTAGATACATCTTCATCTTCATCATCATCCTCGTCCTCTTCATTAATATCAACAGCCGGCTCTCGAAAACTACTCCCATAGTCAGATCCTGAGTCCCTCAGTGTACCTCTGAATTTTTTCTTCTTTCTGCCAAACTGACAACAGAAACAATGTGTTCACAACAAAGACAATATCTCTCAACCAACCATTGATAAAAAAAAAAAGTTTCTATCAGAGAAAAACTAGAATAGTCAAGATAATGTAGATTCCATCTTTATCACCATCATCAAATGTCCCACCTGCTGACTCACCGTGCCCGACTATTTTAAAAAATGATCTCGGCTCCTGAGTGAACTAAACCTTACATGAGTACCAGGTAAAGTCCTGGAAACTACAGGTGGGCGGTTGAACATATCACCAAACAAGTGACGCCTAGTCTATCAAATATAGGTCTACCCTTATATGCCCAATATGCCTGGAAAAGAGTCCTTTACCTGAGTGCAATACGACCTTACAGGTGTGTGGTGGCAAGAATTCACCTGTATCATGTCAGTGAAATATGCAGCAAGGTGACTAGCTATTTTCTCTGTCCCTGCAGAAATCGTTGGTTCTCATGTGCAATTAATTATACCAGTTGTAAATAATTTACCTGCAACAACAACAACAACAAATGCACACACACACTCAGGTCAGATATTCTGCCACCTCCTCAGGTGAACAGCGAACCCTGACAACTGCAGTGACAAGCTAAAGATCTTTCTAAAATACTTTACTTTTAACACGCGAAAAATATGGAAATATTAAACACGGATAAACAGACACAGGTTGAAAAAAAAAAAGCTTCTCACAGCCGGTGGAGGAGAAAACAAGACACATTACAGCAGGTGGAGTAGAAAACAAGACATATTACAGCTGGTGGAGTAGAAAACAAGACACATTACAGCAGGTGGAGTAGAAAACAAGACATACTACAGCAGGTGGAGTAGAAAACAAGACATATTACAGCCGGTGGAGGAGAAAACAAGACATATTACAGCCGGTGGAGGAGAAAACAAGACACATTACAGCAGGTGGAGGAGAAAACAAGACACATTACAGCCGGTGGAGGAGAAAACAAGACACATTACAGCCGGTGGAGGAGAAAACAAGACATATTACAGCAGGTGGAGGAGAAAACAAGACACATTACAGCTGGTGGAGGAGAAAACAAGACACATTACAGCAGGTGGAGGAGAAAACAAGACACACTCACATTACAGCCAGTGGAGGAGAAAACAAGACACATTACAGCCGGTGGAGGAGAAAACAAGACACACTCACATTACAGCCGGTGGAGGAGAAAACAAGACACATTACAGCCGGTGGAGGAGAAAACAAGACACATTACAGCCGGTGGAGGAGAAAACAAGACATATTACAGCAGGTGGAGGAGAAAACAAGACACATTACAGCCGGTGGAGGAGAAAACAAGACACATTACAGCCGGTGGAGGAGAAAACAAGACACATTACAGCCGGTGGAGGGGAAAACAAGACACATCACAGCCGGTGGAGGGGAAAACAAGACACATCACAGCCGGTGGAGGGGAAAACAAGACACATCACAGCCGGTGGAGGGGAAAACAAGACACATCACAGCCGGTGGAGGGGAAAACAAGACACATTACAGCCGGTGGAGGGGAAAACAAGACACATTACAGCCGGTGGAGGGGAAAACAAGACACATTACAGCCGGTGGAGGAGAAAACAAGACACATTACAGCCGGTGGAGGGGAAAACAAGACACATTACAGCCGGTGGAGGAGAAAACAAGACACATTACAGCCGGTGGAGGGGAAAACAAGACACATCACAGCCGGTGGAGGGGAAAACAAGACACATCACAGCCGGTGGAGGAAGAAACAAGACACATTACAGCCGGTGGAGGAAGAAACAAGACACATTACAGCAGGTGGAGGAGAAAACAAGACACATTACAGCCGGTGGAGGAGAAAACAAGACACAATACAGCCAGTGGAGGAGAAAACAAGACACATTACAGCCGGTGGAGGGGAAAACAAGACACATCACAGCCGGTGGAGGAGAAAAACAAGACACATCACAGCCGGTGGAGGGGAAAAACAAGACACATTACAGCCGGTGGAGGGGAAAACAAGACATATTACAGCTGGAGGGGACACATTACAGCCGGAGACACACAAGACATTTACAGCCGGTGGAGGGGAAAACAAGACACATCACAGCCGGTGGAGGGGAAAACAAGACACATCACAGCCGGTGGAGGGGAAAACAAGACACATTACAGCCGGTGGAGGAGAAAACAAGACACATTACAGCTGGTGGAGGGGAAAACAAGACACATTACAGCTGGTGGAGGGGAAAACAAGACACATTACAGCCGGTGGAGGAGAAAACAAGACACATTACAGCCAGTGGAGGAGAAAACAAGACACATTACAGCCGGTGGAGGGGAAAACAAGACACACTCACATTACAGCCGGTGGAGGGGAAAACAAGACACATCACAGCCGGTGGAGGGGAAAACAAGACACATCACAGCCGGTGGAGGGGAAAACAAGACACATCACAGCAGGTGGAGGAGAAAACAAGACACACTACAGTCGGTGGAGGAGTAAACAAGACACATTACAGCAGGTGGAGGAAAAAAAAAGACACAATACAGCCGGTGGAGGAAAAAACAAGACATATTACAGCTGGTGGAGGAGAAAACAAGACACATTACAGATGGTGGAGGAAGAAACAAGACACATTACAGCTGGTGGAGGAAGAAACAAGACACATTACAGCAGGTGGAGGAAGAAACAAGACACATTACAGCTGGTGGAGGAAGAAACAAGACACATTACAGCTGGTGGAGGAAGAAACAAGACACATTACAGCTGGTGGAGGAGAAAACAATACACATTACAGATGGTGGAGGAAGAAACAAGACACATTACAGCAGGTGGAGGAAGAAACAAGACACATTACAGCTGGTGGAGGAAGAAACAAGACACATTACAGCAGGTGGAGGAAGAAACAAGACACATTACAGCAGGTGGAGGAAGAAACAAGACACATTACAGCCGGTGGAGGAGAAAACAAGACACATTACAGCTGGTGGAGGAAGAAACAAGACACATTACAGCAGGTGGAGGAAGAAACAAGACACATTACAGCCGGTGGAGGAGAAAACAAGACACATCACAGCCAGTGGAGGAAGAAACAAGACACATTACAAACAAATATTTGGTAACTCAGGAGAGGATATCTGGATTCAAGGTCTAGATCTATCAACAGATGGAAATGACAGGAGACCAATACAGGATTAGCCGCAGCTGTGCTGACTATCATGTTTCTGGACACATATCTGTTGTATCACGGACAGACTTATTATCACTGTTGAGTGACCATTTCTTCTTCTCTCTAAGAGTTATCACTGTTAAGTGACCATTTCTTCTTCTCTCTAAGAGTTATCACATCTTGTGCAGCTTAAAAGTTAGTGAATGTGTTTAACAATCCACTGATCTCGAGTAGCTGGGTTCGATTTTGGAAGTATGGGTGTACTAAGAAACTGTTTTTGTGGTTTTTGGACAACAACATGAAGAAGATTGGGGCCACATCGCTTATAATTCCCAAATACAGCAGAGGTATACTGTAGCTGATCTTCCTTGGTAAGATAAGACTTATTTTGTATGTCAGTAACACCTAGAGCGTACGCCAAGAGGTTAGTGATGTTAACATGATGCTAATAAAAACGGCAGTCCTCAGCATAATTAATACTAATTAACATACAACTGTAACATATGATTACCTTACCTCATCGTATTCATCATCGGAATCTTCCCTCTCTTTGTACTCGACTACTTCGTCTCTCTCCATGTATCCACCACCAAACCCAGTCCGCTGCTCCACTCGGCCGTACTTGGGAGCATTGCATAAGTTGCAGGTTGTACGTCTGGCCCAGTTCACGTTTCCACAACTGTTTGTTGGTGCAGGCAAATAAACAATCAATGTCACCCCAAGACAGACACGTGGACAAAGGAATACCATGGCAGTATCAAAATGGTGATTATCGTCAAGTTTCAAGACTTTTTCTTCTTATGTGTCCATCCTTAAAAGGGCAGATGGAACACTGAGTTGTAGTTTACAGCTAAGCTGTGATATCTGTGCCTTTCAGAGCAAAAAACCTATTTGAACAAAACCCCTAATTAGGGTTGGATGACATGTCTGTGGTACAGCGGAGGCAGAGGGTCTGTGCTCCTCATTACCCTGGAATCGTCTCAGGAAAAGTTTCAAGGTAATATCAGTTCATCATTTCAGACAGCAAGCAGTGACAATAAACTTCAATATCATCTGTGATGGGAGTCGCTGTGGAGGTGCAGACGTTTGCCATCAATCGAAAGGTCGTGGGTTTGCTCCCTGGCGGAGCCGTACTATTTTTTCCAAAATGACCTTGGCTCCCAGGTTGACCTAGCCTTGAGTGGGTACCGGGTGCAGTCCCGGAAAGTAAAGGCAGCCGGCGTGATGCTGACCACATCAACCATCTTGCGTCGACTGGTCTATAAAATATAGGTCAAGCCCTATATGCCTAAAGGCGTGGACAAGGGTCCTTTTCTTCCTTTATCATCTGTGATAAGTTTCAACTTAATATCAGATCATCATTTCAGACAGCAAGCAGGTGACAATGAACTTCAATATCATTTATATGATAAGTTTCAAAGAGCCTCGCCAGATTATGTGTTTGTGTAAGAGAGTGCATGCATGTGGTAATCACCTCCTGCAGTTGTGTCTGCGCATGCACGTGTGTGGTGTGGGGGAGGGGAGAGAACAGTCCTATGACGATTAGGTGAATCACCTCCTGCGGTTGTGTCTGCGCATGCACGTGTGTGGTGTGGGGGAGGGGAGAGAACAGTCCTATGACGATTAGGTGAATCACCTCCTGCAGTTGTGTCTGCGCATGCACGTGTGTGGTGTGGGGGAGGGGAGAGAACAGTCCTATGACGATTAGGTGAATCACCTCCTGCGGTTGTGTCTGCGCATGCACGTGTGTGGTGTGGGGGAGGGGAGAGAACAGTCCTATGACGATTAGGTGAATCACCTCCTGCGGTCCTGTCTAATTTACTACAATAAAGGTAAACAAATAAACTTCAGCTGAATTCATTCATTGAAAACTGCGGCAATGATGTGATGAACCTGACATGTACAACCACCTTTACTGGGCATTAATGAGGAGCTATGACAGCCGCAGTAGTGTAGCGGCTAGATGCTCACAGGTCGATCTAAAGCTCTTGGGTTCAAAACCTTATAAGAACATGTTTTTTCTTTAATTTCAAAAGAATGGTCCAGCCTAAAAAGTATACCAGGTAACGTCCTGGGAAGTAAACGTGGCCAGCATGATGCTGACCACATCACCCACCATGTGCCAATTGGTCTTTTATTAGTCTAACATCAGATTTTTTTTATACATAAGCGGCATAAAAAGAATCTTTTGCTTTAAAGAGTGAACAAAGAAAAAAATGGAACTTCCTTCCAAGATCATAAAGCCACACTAGCGAAGATCCTAACACAGGATAGTACTCACTAAACAACAGATCTTACCTTTTGCACTGCCAATCTTCGGCACTAAAAAGCCCCTTGCTCTTTTCTGCCAGCTGTTTGCCGATTTCTGTTCCACCTTTTTTGAAAACAGTTCCCTCTGTTCGACCTGAGGAGGAAGTTGGAACTACTTCAATCAAAAACAGGCACTTAGTCAATATTAGGATCAAGAATTACAATGGTTTTCAAACTGCCAGCACACCACCACCACTTACTTGTATCCAACAGATTAGCACAAAGACCTTTAGCTGCAAGTTTTCAGTTAATAGAGTTTGGCAGAAATGCTTTGTCTTAGTATCAGAGGTGGTGTAGTGGCTAGTATAAATGCCTGCAGTCATGTTCCAATCCCAAACAACTCTCTCGCCTATGAACACTACCCCAAAAAAAAAATTGGTTACATCCCTGTTGGAATTCTAGAAACAATTCTTTCAAACAACAAATTTAGACAGATCACAAATAAATTATTTTAAAAATATATCTACATACATTTTTTTCTTTCAAAATTTATAAAGATATATGAAGGCAGTAATCAAATAAACACGAACAAGGTAAAGCATTAAGTGGAATCACATTCGAGGGAGACTTAAAAGAAATGTATCAGGTGACTCATGCAGTGATCTCTACCATTGAGGCTTACGGGAAAAACTGACATTAACTTAGCTTAAAAAAGCTATTTGATTCAAAGGAAAACCAACTGAAATGCTTTTGTTAATGTATGTATTCATATTCTATAAAGAATTGCAAAAAACATGTATAGGCAATAAACAGCAGCTATAAAAAGTAAATAACCATTTGAGAACATTTCAGAGCATAAAGAGGGGGGTATGACAAGGACTTGATTTGTTTTCATGATACCGAATATATTACGAGATCTATCATAGACATGCCAGGAACTGTGGTCATAATATCAAGAACCAATGTTTTGCTGATGGCACTGTCTTGAAAGCCACAAGTCAGAAAGATCAAATGGGCCTCAGTTTCAATAACGGGAAGACAGAAGTAATGGTGATTTCCAAGAAAAGAATAGTGCCTGAATGTATAATAAAAGTCGAAGGCGTTATTTTAGGACAAGTGCAGAAATTCAAGTCTAGGCACACGGATAACAGCTGATGGTAGATGTAACAGAGAAATAAAGAATGTAAGCAAAAAGAATTCTAGCATGCCATATAGATACAGTTTTAACATACAGCTGTGAATCCTGGACAATCAATAAACAAGTCGAACAATTTCTTGAGGACTCTGAGACGTGGAAATGTTCAGGGAAGTAAAGATAGCTGTTGTAATAATGAAGAAATCACTTATGGAAGCTGAATGGGCTGTATAATATGGGAGTAGTTCCATGTACCATAAACATCGCAATACGTAGAAAAGTGGCCTCAACTTTCGTTACTTGGCTACTTCATGGCTGAATCACAGGATCTTCACTTCACTTGTGGACAACTAGATGGCAATGAGTAAAGCCTGAAAGCTTGTGAAACATCATGTTCTTAACTTGGTGTCAGGGCAGATCACTGAGGTCTCCATGCAGCTTTATAGAAATAAATGTCAGCAGAATAATCTTTGTCTTCATTCGCTGACTGACTGATTCATTAATTGTGCCAGTATGTCACTGTGGGTATGTGCAGAAGTCTATGTGTGTGTATGAGGACACATGCTTGTGTCTTAAAAAAGATGTATAAAAGCAAAGTGTCATATGTAAAAGATGACAAAACTCATAAATTACAACGGAAAAAGAATAAACAATGTGTGTATTTCTGTGTGGGTAAGATAGTAAAAGTCGACTAATTTGAAGTCAGAGTTCATCTACCTGAGAAGCAAGGAACCAACAGTCTGCTATCAACTAAGACAGATTTGAAAAACGGATGTGCATGCAAAACTCATGTTCTGGAACAAGATGACCTTTGACAGAAACGAGGGCTCGAAGACAACTTATCACAAACATCAGAAAGAGACAGTCATCATTGTTGGGTCGTGTTCTGAGGAGAGGGAAACTGTAACATGTTGTGACCACTGGAAAGATTTGTGGGAAAGAAGATGCTTGACAGAAGAAGATTCTTGTCCTAAAAGATGTGCAGAAGCAAAAGCAACCAATGGCAGTAACTAAAGTCGTTGAATGGCCGATCAACCAGAACTTTCCACCGGTGCATTATAAAAAAAAAAATTATCTGGTAATCCTAGTTTCAGCTTCATAGCAAACGGGTCACCCCATAGTTGCTCCGCTCCAGTCTTGTCTTGTCCACAATTGCCTCACAGCGTAGTGGGGAGTCGCAGTTTTCTATCCTGGGCCAGGTGTGTTGCATGTGTTGTTGTTAGTCCGTGTTGCCTCAGGATCTCTGATATTTTGTCTATCCATCGTACTCTCGGTCTTCCTCTTGCTCTAGGGCAGTAGTGTTGTTCGTTGTATGCTCGTAGAGGCAGTTGGTCGGTTTGCATTCGCATCAAGTGGCCAAACCACTCTATTTGTTGCTTCTTTATGTATTGCAGGCATGGTGTGGTTCCTACAATTGATCTAATGTTCTCATTTCGAACTCTGTCTCTCCTTGTGACATTGGCAGCCTTACATAAGCATCTCATTTCGCACGTCGTGATCTTTTTCTCCTGTGCTCTTGTTAGGGACCAGGTTTGGCATTGATAGCAGAGGGTTGGTATAAATATGCAATTTATCAGTTGTCGTTTTAGTGCCATAGTGATGCTTGGGTGTTTTAGCAGTAGGGAGAGTTGGTAAGTTACTGCGTTCGCCTTTTGACATCTTGCCTCAAGTTCCCTATCAATTCTTCCATCATCTGTGAAGATGCTCCCCAAGTATTTAAATTGCTGCACTTGTTTGAGTTGTTCGTTGTTAACTTGAATAGTTAGTATATTAGGTGTTCTACTTATTTTCAGAATTTGTTTTGGTGATGCTGATCTTCATGTTATATTCGTTGCAGACTGTGTGTAGCGCATTTACGTGGATTTGAAGTTCTTTTTCGTTTTCATGAATTATGCTTTGGTCGTCTGCGAAAAGTATTTCGTTCAGTTGGGGATGTACTTCTTCAGGATGGGCGTGTATGTTTTCATTATAATGATCTCTTTCAACTAACTCTGTCTCATTGCTTGGTGTAGTTAACAGTTCGCTTATCATTACATGGTTTGCTGCTGTTGTTATTCTGTCCATGTATATATTGAATAGTAGTGGTGATAGTACACAACCCTGTCTTACTCCTGTTCTTAGTATGAATTCGTCTGTCACACCAACATTTGTTCTAACTACGCTTGAGCTTGTTTGGTACAGAGATCTGATGTTGTCTAGTAGCTGACCTTGTACTCCATAGTCGTTCAATATATTCCATAGTTTGTTCCTATCTACCCTGTCAAAAGCTTTTTCTTGGTCAATGAATGCTATATTGAGTTGTTTGTTATATTCTATTGCCTTTTCACTAAGTTGTCTTAGGGTGAAAAGGGCGTCTGTGCAACTTTTTCCTTTCCTAAATCCAAACTGAGCTTTACTCAGCTGTGTCTCTACAATATGTTTTGTTCTTGTCTCAAGTACTTTTGAATATAGCTTCCCTACGTGGCTCAATAAAGAAATTCCTCTGTATGTGTCATACTCTCTTTTGTTGCCCTTGTTTTTTCCAAATTGGGACTATGATAGCTTTTTGCCAATCCTCCGGTGTTTTCCTTTCGTTCCATGCTATCGTGAATATTCTATGTAGCCATTTTGCTCTGGTTTTTCCGCACGCTTTAATTGCCTCGTTCGTTATACCGTCTATACCTGCTGATTTATTATTTGGGCTCATCTTGATAACTCTCTCAACTTCTTGAATTAGGATGCAAGGTTCTTCTTGTTCTTCCTTATAGGTGGAGTAGTATTCTTTAGTTTGTGTATTTGTTGGATTGAGTAGTTCGTAGAAGTTCCGCTCCAGTGCCAACAAAAAATACAGGTAGCTCACAGTGTCACGCCATGCACTCAACTCAGAAGCTGGGCGACGAAACTATATCCTTCCAGTCTACAAATGGAGCAACAACAACAAAAAACATTTGCCTCGGCTATTGAAAAAAAAAAAAGTAGCCGTGCCTAGCATCCATTTTGACCTGAAGCATTATGTTTAAAGTTATGTTTACAGGTGTAGCTGTATGAGTCAGAAGATAATAATTGCCATTAACAATTTCACAATCCTTGACACACCAGGTTTCAATTTCTGTGATGGACAGTTTATTTTTTTTTTAAAACTTTTCATGGTTTTTATGCAGTATGTATGAGAGTCACACCGTGGAAGAGACTGGGGCCTCACCAGATAACAGTCATTAAGACAACAGTGGTACAATGTAGCCGGCCTTCAATGTGAAGACTGCACAAACGAGAATGTTTATAACTGATCTAAGCAACTGACAGGAAAAACTTACTCTTGCCGCACTTGTTGCATTCAGGTCTCCGAGCAAAGTTTACATTCCCACATCTGACGAGGTACCGGAAAAATGAATTACTTTTACAGAAAAGATGAGATATGGGTACGAGAAAACATAAGATATGAGTATCAGAGGGCACTACTAACAAAACATTTAAACATTCATGGCAAGTCAATGATGGATAACTACAATTTCTGTCTCAGCTCTGAACTGGTAAAAGAGACAAGGAAGAAGAAGAAGAACACAACTCACCCCTCTCCTTTCAAATCAAATATAAACGTTCTCTTTTTAAATGACTTGATTATGCATTTCACAGTAGTTCAAAAATAATTTCTTTTTGTTTAGGGACTTGGGTAGAGATGGTGTCTCATGGGGTTTATCACTTGTTTAATAGTGCAATAAAAATATTTGTCTTTTATGTGTAAAATGTTCTAAAAATGCTTAAATTTATTTCCATGACTATTTTCGATTTTATATTATAAACAATCAGCTGCTTAATTCTATAAATAGAGTTGACATTCCATTAGTTTCATTAATGTAACAACATAGAATCTGAACAATTGACTAATTTCTGCAGTGAAAGAAAATTGTTCTGATCACTCTGAGAACAACTTCAATACTAAAATACTGCAATCAAAGCCACAGTCTAAGGGTGTCAACAAGTCTAGATGAAGATGTGGATGGACAAATGCAAAGTCGAATCTCAGCCCGGCATCCGATTTATCGAGTACCAAACTGGCTGCATCTAGTAGTGTCGACTGCCGGATGGGTCAGTCTGCTGCACTGGGCTGTGAATGAAAGCTGCCATTGAATAACCCTGCTTCCGATGCAGTCTCTGGCGCTGGCACCAGTTTTGCCAGTGCACATGAAAATTCCCTTTTGCTTGGTTTTTGCTTATATACTTGTTATCTTGTGCTGTGGATTGTTCATGTGAATGCAAAATAAGTAGATTGTTGTAATACTAATACTGTCACCATTGTTTAACTGTTTGTGGTTTGTTTAATGCAACTACGATTTTGTCATCTATAATTTCTGCTGGGTCATATAACTGTTCATTCCTACCTCATAACATTAATCTGTTTATAAAAGTTTTTCAAAGCATTTTTTTGGCCAGCATTAAATATTTTGCTGCATTTCTGCCATAATGATTCTCTGGCAATCGTTCTTGTCGCTCTGTATTTTTCAACATCTTGATTTTTACCTTCCGCCTGTGCCTGGTATCTACATTTCTTCTCCCTTACGGCTATTTTTTACTTCCTCATTTTACAAAAGTGTTATTAATGGTCTTGTGCATCTTTTCTTTACCCCTCCGCTTCTTTTGTTGCTTCAAAATTTGACCTATAAATATTTCCCATTCATTTGCTACTGATTTGGTTTCTTCAGTTAGCCTGGTATAATCTTCAGTAATTGTTTTCAGGATATGCTCCTTGTGTGTTGGCATTCTTTAGTTTATTAATTTTGTATTTTTCCTTTGTGGTTGCATATAGTCCTTTATTGTTTCTTTCTCTGTTCAGCATGACTGCCTTGTGGTCAGTGTCTGTACAAAGGTTTAGGATTGCTCATGCTTCTTTTACCATTCTTGTCATATTTCTCGTGGACCAAGAGAATTATGACAAGAATGGTGTAATTTGACTTTTACAGTTCAGGTCGTTCCATATATATATATATATATATATATATATATATATATATATATATATATATATATACGTGTGTGTGTGTCAGCATGAGATTGTCAGTGTTGCAAATAAGCGTTAGTTATGAATCAATTCTGCTGATAACAAAGCTTTTTTGTTTCTTTGACTTTGTACTTTGCTTAGAAGATACAATATAAATAACATAATTGACTTAGTTGAGTTACTAACAACCGATATACAAGAGTTAACGCTAGTAGTGATGTTCCCAATGAGCATCCTATCTATCTATACTCCTATATATACTATTTAGTATTATTAGTTACTATACTACTCAATAATAAGTGGGCTGTCTTTGACTTTAACAGCCAGCAGAGTTGTGACCATTTTGGTGGTACCAGTTAAGTAGTTCACAATCTAATTTTAAACAATTTATAATTAAACTTAAATATCTTTCTATGTTACTTAAATTCGAATGACTTGAATAAAATTATTTACAAAAAGTAAGTAAAGTTTCATTTAGTTTGAGTTTCTAGTAAACTGACTGATGGCAAAACTTCGAAACCTAATAATTCATTTCATCTTTATCAAAATACGTGTTTTATTATTCAGTTATTATTAAAGAACTGTTTAAAGGGGCAATAATTTAAGTTATAAATATTAACTTTGTATCTGGACAAATCCAGTCGCCTTCGTTTGGCTTGAATCGTTCCTTGGAAGACATCTCCACAGATATCAGATCAAATTCTGCCGTCTCCTTCAAGTCGTCGTAGATGTAGCTAAAATTGCGTCCCTTGCTCAGAACGGAAGTATGGAAGTACGGAAGTGCCAGGTTCTTGGTGCTTATGAGCCAAAACAAGTTCCAAGTTTGAGACATTTAATAATTATTTAATAATTTAATTATTATTATTATTATTATTATTATTATTATTATTATTATTATTATTATTATTATATTATAAACTACATTTAGCTATAAATAATAATTATTTTCAAATGAGTGATTAAAAAAATCGAATAACTGAAGAATGGGCATGGATGTGAAATTAGAGATTGAAGGAAAGGCATGTACACACATTATTTTAAAATGTCTTACAAGAAAATGTCAAATGAGTTCCTTATGCTTTTTCTATTTTCTGCTTTGTGCCGCTAGGCGTCGCAGATTAACAGATAATCGGTTTCTGAGCTAGGGCATGCTCAGTAGTCCGGTATGCTGTGATGTTGTGAATTCTCAATGTATCAGTGGCTCCTTTAATCCGTGTTCTTCTTGTTCGTCCCCTACATCTTGGTGTTTCTACTTTCATGGTGTACGCTCTCATTGTTGGCATCGCTCGATTCATTCTCATTAAATTTGTCTTTATATGTCAATGAATTTAATTACAGCCGCTGTTTCAATAGTTATTATAATATCTTTGTTTCTCACATGATATTTCTCAAACATCTCATTTCGCAGGTGGTTAGATTTCTCTCGTGTTCTTTAGTCATTGTCTCCAAGTCTGACATTGACGACACAGGGTTGATATCATGATTACATTGATAATGTGTTTGTTTCATCTCTACTTAGATAGCCGTGTTTCAGAATAAAGGGCAGTTCATACGTGACAATATTTGGCTTGTTGAATCCTTGTTTCAATATCTGTCTATTCTAGCATCACAAGTAAAGGTGCTTCCTAAGTATTTAAAGTGTTAAACTATTTTAAACTTTGGTCAGAATGCTAATGAACTAAAAATCCATTGGAAATTTCTTTTCAAAATATATATTATTGAGACTTTACTCAAACAATCTGTTACAATGAATACATAATCTAATAAATATTAAATAATAAAAAGTAACTGACTAGTATAAATGTTAAGTATTGAGGGAAAAAAAAAACCTGAAAACTGTTTATATCCCTAATTATAACTCAAATCTACTGAACATGAATGACATCGTTGTTTAAATGACTACTTCATCAGGATAATGTAAAACATGGCTCTTAGAGAAACTATACGAACAGTCATCCTAACAGTATTGTTGCTCCGAGCAAAGCAACGCATTCTTTCTGTCTGCACAACAGCACACGTGATAATCCCGTAGTTGCTCCACTCCTGTGCCAACGAAAAACACAAAGAATGTTTATCACAGTGGAAAGATTGACAGACTGCTGTTTCAGCGTATCTAGCATACACTCGCATTAAAGTATACGGTAGCCAACCGAAGCGTTAACACAAACAGTCTGACATTAGAAATTAAAGATGCAATCGAAATGGCACAACAGGCTAATGCGCCAATTATTTTGGGGCCTCCGGGCAACACTTTGGCTTTTTCTTGCTTTTGGACGACACAGCACGTCTATTAGGACGAATTAGGATATAAAAAGAATGTGAAATAATACATGAAAATACTCATACTCGCGCGTCGCTAATGTGATCTTTTTTTTCCAGAGATTTTTGTTTAAAGATAAATGTGTGTGCTAACATGTGGAAATATAAATATTGTGTTTTATAGAAGTGTTTAGATAAACATGAATCCACGACATTTGTGACAGGCAGGTGGAAGATTTACCTAGGTACACAGTGATGCCCAATCAAGATTAAGAGATGTGAGAGTGTGTGAACTAAGTTCTACAGACAAAACCGGTATAGAGTAGGAACGCTGAATATACTTGGCTGGGGCAACAAAGCAGAGAAGACTAAACAACTGATGGAAAATAATCAAGTGAAGATGTGAGGTTTCGCTGAGTTAATAAAGGTATTGAAGAAAAAAGGGACAGAAAGGCTTACACGAAGATATTGTATTGGTATACTCTGGTATAGACAAGACTCAACGTGCAAAACATGGAGTAGGTTTCATCATTGACCCTAGATTGCAAGTAACATTTTAGACATCCAGTTACGTATCAGAAAGAACTATTAGTATCAACATACAAAGAGACAGAAGATCAGAAACCTACATTCAAGTTTACACACCCTGCAAATGATAGCAGCAAGGCACGAAGCGACTGGTAATGACCAAGACCGGCTTTTTTTTTGACGATCTTCCAGCAGAAGACATCAAAGCAGCTGGAGAAACAGGAGCAAAATGGTCATGGTGAATTTTCCAGACTGCCTGGCTAGAACAAGAAACATCAGAAGACTGGCACACAACAATAATTATACCGATATGGAAAAATAAAGGGAGTAAGAAAGAGTGCACTAATTACAGAGGAATATCACTATTCAGTCACACAGGGAAAAAGTATGCCAAATTAACCGAAAGAAGATTAAGGACTATTGGTAGAAAAACAACGTTCAGAAGCCATGATTGGTTTCAAGATGTGACAGAAGTTGCAAAGACGCAATATTTATATTAAGAAAGTTGACAGAAAGAGAAACAGAGTATGATAAAACATGCAAAGTCGTATTTATAGACCAGGAAAAGCATCTGACAGAGTGGATAGGAATATGGTGTGGAATTGCTTAAGGAGATATGGAATCAGTGAATATCTAACTGGAGTGTGTAAGAGCTTATATGGTTAGTTGAGTATCCTTTACAGGACGTTGCAATACCAACCCCTAAAGCCCCTGGCTTTTGTGTGGTTTTTCTAGGCAAATTTACGTCCAGTAGTTTGCCATTGCTTTCTGGACGGTCGGCTTTCTTGATACCAAGGTCGAAACTAACGCTAGGCGCATGGCCCGCAGCTGGGATCGAACCTGGCATCCCGGCATTACGAAGCGTTTACAACGACTTAGCCACAGAGCCGACAAGAGCTTATATGCATCAAGTAAAAGTTGCATACGAACAAAAGCAGGTACATCGCAACCTTTCGAAGTAAATTCAGGAGTAAGAAAAGAAGAAGAGGAAGATATACTCACGCGACCATTTTAAAGAAATATTTGTTGACAGTCTTATTCACACACACACACACACACACACACACACACACACACACACTGTTGCCTACAGCATTAGTATGGGATACTGTTGCCTACAGCATTAGTATGGGATACTGTTGCCTACAGCATTGGTATGGGATACTGTTGCCTACAGCATTGGTATGGGATACTGTTGCCTACAGCATTGGTATGGGATACTGTTGCCTACAGCATTAGGTATGGGATACTGTTGCCTACAGCATTGGTATGGGATACTGTTGCCTACAGCATTGGTATGGGATACTGTTGCCTACAGCATTGGTATGGGATACTGTTGCCTACAGCATTGGTATGGGATACTGTTGCCTACAGCATTGGTATGGGATACTGTTGCCTACATCATTAGTATGGGATACTGTTGCCTACAGCATTAGTATGGGATACTGTTGCCTACATCATTGGTATGGGATACTGTTGCCTACAGCATTGGTATGGGATACTGTTGCCTACAGCATTAGTATGGGATACTGTTGCCTACAGCATTAGTATGGGATACTGTTGCCTACAGCATTAGTATGGGATACTGTTGCCTACAGCATTAGTATGGGATACTGTTGCCTACAGCATTAGTATGGGATACTGTTGCCTACAGCATTATTATGGGATACTGTTGCCTACACCATTGGTATGGGATACTGTTGCCTACAGCATTGGTATGGGATACTGTTGCCTACACCATTGGTATGGGATACTGTTGCCTACAGCATTGGTATGGGATACTGTGCCTACACCATTGGTATGGGATAGTGTTGCCTACAGCATTAGTATGGGATACTGTTGCCTACACCATTGGTATGGGATAGTGTTGCCTACAGCATTAGTATGGGATGCTGTTGCCTACACCATTGGTATGGGATACTGTTGCCTACAGCATTAGTATGGGATACTGTTGCCTACACCATTGGTATGGGATAGTGTTGCCTACAGCATTAGTATGGGATACTGTTGCCTACACCATTGGTATGGGATACTGTTGCCTACAGCATTAGTATGGGATACTGTTGCCTACACCATTGGTATGGGATACTGTTGCCTACAGCATTAGTATGGGATACTGTTGCCTACAGCATTAGTATGGGATACTGTTGCCTACAGCATTAGTATGGGATACTGTTGCCTACACCATTGGTATGGGATACTGTTGCCTACAGCATTGGTATGGGATACTGTGCCTACATCAATAGTGTACACAAGGGTCATTGACGTAGGCTTTTAAACAGCGTTTGATGAAATCTTAGCGATTTGTGGTGTTTTGGTTCTATTCCTCAATTCCTCAAAGGCATCAGTTAATGGGTGCTTGTCTCAGTGTGGGTTCTGGGGCCGCACCGGGGGGGGGGGGGGGGAATAGGGGAATGGGCTCTCATAGTTTACCACAACTGTAAAATCTACATGTTTCGCTCCAAAAAACAGCTGATTTCTCTTGAAGTGAAAGAATGGGCTCTCATAGTTTACTACAACTGTAAAATTGACGTGTTTCGCTCCACAATACAGCTGATTTCACTTGAAGTGAAAGAATGGGCTCTCGTAGTTTACTATAACTGTAAAATCTACATGTTTCGCTCCACAATACAGCTGATTTAACTTGAAGTGAAAGAATGGGCTCTCGTAGTTTACTACAACTGTAAAATCTACATGTTTCGCTCCACAATACAGCTGATTTCACTTGAAGTGAAAGAATGGGCTCTCATAGTTTACTACAACTGTAAAATCGACGTGTTTCGCTCCACAATACAGCTGATTTAACTTGAAGTGAAAGAATGGGCTCTCGTAGTTTACTATAACTGTAAAATCTACATGTTTCGCTCCACAATACAGCTGATTTCACTTGAA